GGGGTGGAGAGTGATTTGTAGTATTCACTTATTTCTGTGGCATAAATGCTTCCACCATGGCTGATTTCAAACTACCAACGTGACACCAACCGGCTCACAAAATTCCCGCAGTGTGACAGTTGGTGCTCGTGAGCCAGGAGGAGCCGGTCCGGCCCACCACCGACACTGAAGGGGGAGCAGAGGGCTCTGCGGCCAGAGCTGGGGGCCCAGGCTCCCGCTGAGGACCACCCAGGAGATGGGGCAGGGGCTGCTATTCATCTATGGCTAAAGTTTTTTTGTAAAGTTAACCCCATTTAGTGTGAAGTTAACCCCAAACTAAGCAGACGGAAGCAACAAGAACATCCTAACTCGCACCGTTTCTGAGAGTCAGGAATCTGAGGATTCAGCCGCCGGGTCTGGCTCAGGGCCTGCCCCGAGCTTGCAGCCACGCTGTCAGCTGGAACGGCAGCCACTCGAAGCTTTGCCTGGAGCTGGAGGGTCTCTTCCTAGCTCACGCCAGTGGCTGCTGCCAAGGCCGCCGTCCCTGTCACGGGGGCCTCCCTGTCGGGCGGCTGGCTTTCTCCAGAGCAAGTGAGCAGAGGGAGGAGGCTGAGCTGGAGAGCAGCGACTTTCATAGCTGGTATCAGAAGGGACGTGCCATCGCTTCTGTGGTGCCCTGCCGCTCACACACACCAGCCCTGACCAAACGGGGGGATGACGTGAGGGCTGGAGGCCACGAAGCTGGGGGCCCTGGCGGCTGTCCCGGAGGACGGCTGCCATGCCGATGCCAGCTGAAGGTGAGTGCTGTCGCCCTGAGATGCTTGTGAATGAGGCACAGGGCACCAAGGGCCTCAGCACAGAGGCATGGCACCCTCAGAGGCCCTCCCCTTGGTTTTCAGCTGAGGAAACTGAGAAGTTTAGGGATTTGCTCTAGACGCAGCTACCCTCGTCAGGACCCCAGGTCCCAGCCTTGCCTCATCCCAGTGAGGCCCACTCCTCACCCTCTCCCCACCCAACTCCCTGCCTGCCTTCCCCAGATGCCGATGCCGGGAGTCCTGGCACATCAGGGCTTCGGTCAAGGTCACCTCGCCCAGACCCTTATGGGCTCCTTCTTCCCCAGAGCTTACCCTCCCATTCTCCCTCAGTCGAAACAAGAAGACAACCCCATCTATTTTCACAGCCCCCGCCCTGCACAGGGGTTGTCGGTAACGTGCCTCAGTGGCCCCAGAGAGCGGCATACACCACCAGGACCTTCTGGGCTCCTGCCGCCACGTGGAGTCTGGTGTTGAGCCGTGTCAGAGCTCTGTGATCTGAGCCAAATAAAACCCCGCCCCAAACCAAAGGGAAGCACCTGGGGGCTGCACTGTCACACTCTGTCTTGATTTCGATGCTGATTACAAGGTTATTCATTCTACGAAAACCATCAAATTACACACCCATGATTTATACAATTTTCTGTGTATTATACAAAAAGGGTTTTTTTAGTAGTCCCAAAGAAAGGGACATGTGTCCGAGTCTTCCCATATGCCAGACAGAAGATAAGCCTGCTTTCTAAGCTACTGCCAGTCTGCTCTCTAGGAACCACAGAAAAGCTGGGGCATCTCCATTCAGGTAGAAAATTGGGGTAGAAGATCTAAAAGGAGTGGAAGCTGGAGGGTTCTTGGCACTGGGGCAAGAAGTGACCCATGAGAGGGCCAGAGAGTTGGGGCACCCCTGGCATCACTCACCTCCTTGGCACTGTCCCAGGCCCAGCTGCAAGGCCTCACGACTCCCGAGCATCTTCTGCAGTGATGGAACAAAAAGCATGAAGGTTCCCGAAGGCCAGGATCAAACCACGCAGCCGTAAGTGCTTTCTCCAGTGGGCAGGCCGGTGGGATGGGCTCCGACCTGCACAGCACGTGAAGATCCGAGAAGGTCCTTCTCCCGCGGGTGTGCCCACTTTACCCCCAACTTCTCCACCGCCATCCTGGCTTCTCCCCCCCAGGCACTGGTTCACCACCCTTCTCCTTGTGAGCCGACATTGACCAGGCGGTCCTAGAAGGGCTCCTTCCTTGAGGTCCCCGGCCCACGCCCCGGAGCTGGGCTCTCCCCGCCTGGCAGGCTCTGCAGCCAGTCGCAGGCTGGTGGGAGGAGCGGCCCTTCCAGCTCTCACCCACTCCTGGTTGGTCATGAGTCTGTCGCAGTGCCTGGCACACGTTGGCTGTTCAGTAAATGATGGATGGGCAGGGTGGGACCTTAGGCAGGCCTCAATTTTTTTCCCCTGTCACATGGGGCCAACAGCAGAAATGGGAATGACTGAGGACATGAATGTGGCTGGGTTCAGGGAAGAAATCAAGGATCCTGGCTGCCCAGGGCCCAGGCCCTCTGGTGGGTCAGAATGGCCCTGTTTTTTCCCTTCTGTGCCCAGTCAGGCCAGGGACAGTCCTGTCACCTGGAGATACACACCCAATACCCACCCCTTTGACCTGCAGGCTCTGCTCGGAGGAGGTGATCCTCAAGATGCCCAGCAGAAGGTATGAACTAGCACGAGGTTTGCTGTAGTGGCTGGCTGGGGGTTCAGGTGGGGACACAGCTAATGCTCCAGGCCTGGGGGCCTTATAGGAGCTTCCTTAGTGTCCCTACATGGCTCTGCTCCCCAACCACTGCAGCTTGTCAGTTGCTGCCAAGTGACCAGAAACTGGAGCTCATTTGCCAGGGCACCACTTTGAAGCCATCCTGGACTGGGCCCCCTCACTGAGTTCATTGTCCTCTGACCTGTCCAGGCCTGTGGTCATGCCCAGACCACACTAGACTCCCCAGGTCAGCCAGGGTGCTTGCTCCCTCTGTGCCTGCCCGTGCTGCTTCTGTCAACGTCTGCCACCCCTGCTTCCCTATGCGCCGGCAGAATCCTAAGAGCACTTCCCAGTCTGCTGTGTGGTCCTGGCCCCACATGAATGCCACAGCCCTGGGCCAGCTCCGTGGCTGCCCACTAATACTGCTTATGGGACACAGGAGATATTGGAAGCCTGCAACCAAGCCCATGAGGCCTTGGGGACAGCGTCACCACAGTGGTGAAGAAGGGTCAGTAACAAAACGCAGGGCATATTGTGGGTTGGAAAGAATATTCTGGAGGAAAGCAAGGCCCCTCCAGCTCCTGCATGTTTGACCTGCTTCCACCAGTGTGTGCTGGGTGGGATCCCTGTCCCCGTCCCCATCCCCACCCTACCCCCAACCCCCATCCCCCCCTGCAGACTCACTCAGGGATGCTGGTGCAGGGCTGTGGGAGGTGCGTCATGGCCCCCGAGTCCTGGAGGAAGTGGGCTGGGCTGAGCCCAGGGCTTCTCTCTGAGGTTTTCTCCCCACAGCCATGCTGCCCCTGTTCACACCTCACTCTCCAGCATCCTTCCTCTCCTGAGAAGCACGAGAACCATTTTCTTATGGCGGGTGGTTGTTGCCAATTCCACAGCCTGGGACACATTTGGAGAAACCTACGTGGTCTGTGACCAAAGTCCAGCACCCTGGACTCCCGCTCTGGGCTGGAGACACTGTGCCCCTTCTGAGGGGCTGGGAGTCTGGGACGCGAGCTCCCCGAGGGACGCTAAGCACATGCCTTGTGCCCTCTGCTTCCTGCATAGGCCTCTGGGGCCTTTGCTGCAAAGCACAGATTGATAAGGACTTTTCGGTGGTCCTTGCTCAATTTCTTAGAAAATCACCCCACCTCCCTTCTCATGCTGTGGCAGTCCTGATTCAGAGACCAAAGTGAGAAGCAGCCCACCACTCAGGGGGCCCTTGGCCGGAGGGTCATTCCCATCTCAGCACTGCAGCGACCGACACGGGGGCCCCAGGGAGGCTCTGGGGCTTCACGTTTCCCGAGGCAGCAGCTCTGGCTGCCCTCCAGGGCCAGGGCCCAGCGAGTCCCCGCCTCTGCCCCTCTTCCCTGAGAGGAGGGCACACGGCTGCACCCCGTCTTCACCCTGAACAGCAGCACTCAGGGCCGTGGGGGGGCACGGCCAGGGAATCAGAGTCTTGGCCATGGAGGATCAGGGGCTGAGGAGCCACATCTCGAACTATCACCGGTGTTCCTTGTAACCCATCAGGATGTTCTGGGCAAAAAGACTCCAAGGTTGAAACCAAGTCTGGGGAACACCCCTGGCCTCAGCCCTTTTGGCCAGGGTGGGAGTGGGGCTCAGAGGGCACAGGAGCACAGAAAGGCTGAGAAGCCTGTGGAAACAAACTGACTTCATGTGGACCCACGATTCCTTAACTTACTGGCTAACAGACATTCTGTGGTGGTGGAGCACATGCCAGCGGCATGCCTTTCACGCCTCATCCACTAGCTCGCTGACCACTCAGCCTCATTCCTCACCAGCAGAGGTACCAGGGAGGGCCCTGGCTCTCACACCACCCCCAGGAGGCTCGGCCCAGGAGTGGAGGCCCTACACATTCACCGCTTGTGTGTGTCCGCAGAGCAACAGCATCCCTGCTGGGCCCTTGTTTAGAAATAGATTCTCAGGCTCCACCCCAGACCTACTGATCCGAATTGGCATGTTAATAAAACTCCCAGGTGATCTGATGCACCGTGGTTTGAGAACTGTTCTCCCTGTCCCATTCTTCTGTCTCCAAGATGGCTGTTGGGTCACCTCCAGGCCAGATGGGGCGCTCCAGGCCCCGTATCCAGATGCAGCAGACACATCCAGGACTCATAGCCGTGTGTGGGGAACTCCCCACATCATGAGTCCTTCCTTCTCGAGGGCCCAGGAGGGGGACCAAGGGGTCTGCCAGCCTTAGGGGAGGCCTTGCTTTTGCAGAGGCTCGTAAAAAGGACCGGGGGTTCTTCCAGTGCAGCCTTCCCGTCCCTGCTTCCATGTCTCTTCCACAGACATGCCTGGAGACTCGGAGACGGCCACCTCGGGAGTCCGACCAGCCACCACCTCCTGGAAGTCAGCAACGATCATTCACAGGGTGAGACGCAGTCCCTCTTAGCAGCTCTCCCCCCACCCCCCTAGACAGAACCCAGAAGGAAAGGTGAGCCAGCATCTGGGGGAAGACATTTTATTGAGATTTTGCCACACAAAGAGCTACAGGAAGCAGGAGGACTGGGGAGCAGCTGCCCCCCCTTGTGCAGGTCGGCACAGAGCCCATGGGAGGAGCACGGGGAGCTGGGGGCGACCAGAGGGAGAGGGACCCCGGACGGGTCTGCTATGAGAGAGGGGTGCCTAGCTGCCTAGATGTCACTAGGGAGGGACAAGTGGGACTCAAGGAGACCCCAGCGCTTGGGGGTCACTGGGTAAGCGCCTGCGCCACGTCCTTCACCAGCATGGCGCCGATCACCATCTTCTCACTATTGACCGTCAGCTGGGCAGTGCCAGTGGGCCGGGCATCCAGTGTCAGGAGGACCAGGCTCCCGCTGGTCAGCGTCCTCCCTGCAAACCTGAGGTGCGGGTAAAAGAAGGGGCTCAGCCCTGGGGCATGGGGCCCCTCCTTCAGACTGGGCCCCCAGAGGCCCACCTCCACGCTTCTCTGGCGGCCTAATACCTGTACTCGTCAGAGGCCCCGCAGGGGACGCGGCCCAGGTTGGCAGTAGCAGTCACTTTCTGCACCACAGTGTGGTCACTCCGGCAGGTGTCCGGCAGCGTGAGCCTCTCTGTGACCTCGCTCATGCCGGTCAGCTTTCCTGGGGGAGGTGTCAGGGTGAGGGCGGAGGCTGCCCCTGGGCCTCCTCACCAAGCCCTCCTCAGGCCCAGGCCGGGCAGCTCTTGTGCTAAGAGCAGGCGAATCTCCCTCTTCAGTCTTGAGAAGGGGCACTTCCCTCTCGGGCTGCCCTCCTTCAGGAAGCCCTGCTGGCTCCCCAGTCCCTGCAGGTCTCTCTGTCCATCCATGATGTTGACCCCCTCCCACTGTCAGGCATCCGGGCCACCAGCTCCTTGGGAGTGACCAGCGTATCTGGAGGTCATTCAGTTCACAGGTTTCCTCTGCCTCGGCCCCCACCCACTTAGTCTTTCTTGGTTGGCCCTCCAGCCCAAGTTCAAATCCCTTCCAGCTCCTGGAGGTCGTTCTCACCGAGATCACTGGCCACCGAGATCCCCACAAGATGGGCCAGAGTCCAGCAGTCACACGCAGCCCTGACTGGAGACCCTAACTTCACCTGCACAGCAGCTCCCCACCTGGCCAGGGCTCCTGAAGCCCCCAGCCACTCACAGCCTCCCCAAGACAGTCCCTCTGCAGGGCTGACCTCTCAGCTGCTCTGGGCCGGCCACCTGAGCTCCCCCGTCTGCCCTCCTGCCCACCTTCTCTTGAGCCTCTCCCATCCCTCTGCTGCCTCCCCGTTCTCCTCCCCTTTTTGAGAACGAGCACCCCTCTCTGTTGCTCGCATCCCCTCCGTGCCTGACTGGTGACATTTTCCTGCCCGGTGCCTTTAGTCTCTCCATGTTCGAGTCTCTGCATCCCTAAGAGGTCCTCTCCGAAGCGAGATCCATCATCCTGCCAGTGCCGTGTCTCCCTCCCCACTCGCGGCCGACGTCCCCCACAGAGGACTCCATGTCCTTGAGCCCTGGTCTCCCCCAACCCACTGCACTTGGCCTCTGTGCCCCCTTCTGCAATGGCCTGCTCCCTCTGAAGTCCCATCCGCTGCGCCCTACAGCCTGGGCCATCCTGGCCTGCGGGCCACCCCAGCGCCCTCTCCTGCCTTCTCGTCTCCCTTGGTTCTCTTCCCACCTCTTTCTCTGTTCCTTCTCTTTTTCTCCTGAAGAATGCAGGTTTTCCTCAAAGAAGAGAGGAAAACCTTCGTATCTTCCCCCCCTTCTCTCTCCCAGTGATCTCACTCATATTCACAGCTTCACTTACCACCTCTATGCTCGTGACTCCAGCCTGGAATTCTGTCCTGGGCACAGACCCACACGCTCAGCCGCACACCGAACACTTCCTCCCGGATTCCCCAAGGGCCCTTCAAAGTCAGCTCACCTAAAACTAACCGTCATCTTCTTCCCTCCTCTCCCTAACCCACTTTTTCTTCCAGATCAGGGGTTTGGCAAATTATAGCCTCAGGCCAAACGAAGCCCACCACCTGTATGGCCCACAATGTGTTTTACATTAAGTGGTGAGGGAAGAAAAACATCAAAAGATGACTACTTCATGACACATGAAAATTACATGAGACTTATATCTAAGTGTCCACGAATAAAAGTTTATTGGAACACAGCCACACTTGTTCATTTACGTATCATCGGTGGCTGTTTTTGTATAACAAGGAAGGAGTTGAGCAATTGCAGCAGAGACCACGTGGCCCACAAAGCCTAAAACATTCGCTTTATGGCCCATTACAGCAAAAGCCTGCAGACCCTGATCTGCTAAGGGCCCTGCTGTTCTCCCTACCAGCCAAGCCGGAGGCCCCCAAGTCGGTTTCTGTACCTCCTTCCCCTCCTGCTTAGAGCAGCTGCTCTGACGTCCCTCTCCCCAGCACCAGGGCCCACCTCTGCCCCTCTTTCCCTTTGCTGGGCTCTAATCCTGATCCTCACCATCTCCTTTCATCTATTGCAACAGCCTCATGACCAGCAGCAGAATCTAGGCCAAGGTCACACTCCACGAGAACAGCAGGGCCAGACCTTCAGGCCAGGACTCATGAAGCCCCGTTTCTTGTTTCTCCCACTCACGCTGTCCGGTGTCTCCCACATGACCTCACTCACATTCACGGCTTCAGTTACCAGGTTCTCCCAAGCCCAGGCCTCCCCATAAATACTGCCAGGTTCACTTTCTGAAGCAGAGATCCGAACCTGACCCCTTCTTTGCTCAAAACCCTTCAATGACTCCTCTGCTAGGACAATAAAGTCCACAGTCTTTATTTATTGATGGAGGTGGACCCAGTGACCTCTACAACCCCTTCCAGACCTGAAATTCTAGGACTGAAATCCTTTAGCATTGCATCCAAAGCTCCCCAAACGAGAGCAATCGTGACTCTCGGCTTTGCTGTTATTGCTCCCCGGTGCCAGGGACCTGGATGCCTCAGACAAAGCTGCTCCCTCCTCCTCTGTGTAAATGTCACCGACACTTGGTGTTTCCCCGAGCTGGAACGCAGGCCTAGAATTTTCTGCCTGGATGAGCCCAAACTCTCTCCAGAGCCTCCCTGAAGTATCCCAGCCTCTTTGAGGGCAGCTGGAGCCGCAAGCTGCGAGGCCGCCTTCTGCCTGAAGGGCCGAGGCCTCTCCAGCATGACCGTACAGGGAGCTAGTTGAGCCCATGGATGGAGCTGTGCCCCTGCCCCACCCAAGCCAGGGGGCACTCACCCTGCTCCTTCTTGAACTCATTCTCACTCATGAACACAGGGGCCATCAGCTCCCCAACAGGTGGCTGAATGGAGACGTAGAACTGCCGGGTTTGGGTGCTGGGAAGGGTGGGAGGAGACGGAGGGAGAGGAAGTGAGGCCAGCGTCCCTCCCTCTCCTCCCACTTTGGAGACAGGCTTGGAGGCGGTGGGAGAGTGAGCTAAGACCGGAGCACTTGGGATGGCTTGACCCACGAGGTCAGGATGGACCCCTGCCTCCCTCCGGCTCCAGCTCATCTGGACCCTGGCTCTGAGGTCCCACCATGAGATGGACACATACCACAGCTGGAAGTTGGCCACCTGTGTCGAGTCACAGAAATTAATGCCCATTATAGCAGTGGCAGATTCTCCGGGTGCCAGGGACTCTGCAGCAGTGTGAGGGAAGGAAAGGGGGTGAGGGAAAGATGCCATCACCCGACAGGTCTGCAACCCAGACCCACTCTCCCCTCTGCTGCCACAGCTGACCGCCCCTCTATGGAGTCCTGGTTTTCTACTGAAATGTAAACATCCTGCCCCTCCCCACCCCATTTCGGCCAGTCCTGCAACAGCCACGGCCCCTATCTTGTGCCTCAAGCACCTCCTGCCCGATAAGGACTTGCTCGTTTCCTAGTCCTTCTCGTCCACCAGGGTATGGACTGTGTTAGATGTCACCCCTGTGCCGCCAAAGCCTGGCCCCTGGCCTGGCACAGGGAGGGCATCAGCAGCCACAGACTCTGCCCAAAAGCCGCCTTCTCCACCACGTCCAAGGCCCTTCTGTACCTATTGCAGGAAATTCCTGGATGCTGATGCCAGCTGGCAGTTTGGGGGTGCCCACATGCAGGCCCTTAATGGGAGTATCAGAGCTGTTGGAGAAGTGGATGTTCACAGACACCATGTGGGGGTCCCCAGAGAAGGGCTGGCGGCTGAAAGTGTAGTCCACCGCCAGCCCCTCGCCTGCTACGCGGTGCAGCAGCTCCTGCCTCCCAACACCAGACACTGGGCTCAGCAACTAGAGGGGAAGAGCGTGGGAAGACAGAAATGAGCAGAAGAGAGCCTGTCCCTGCCTCGTCCCCACCTAGAGTCACCCAGCAGTGATGAGGGACTCAATCCCCACAGCCGTCCACACACAGATCCATGCTACGGGATGCAGCACAGAGATGCATCCCTGCCCCAGCCCAGCCTGTCCCCCATCCCACTCACCGAGGGCACCAGCGGGGACTCTGTGAGGGTCAGGCCCTCCAGGTCAGCAGCCAGGCTGGCAGACACAACCGTGGGCGGGGACACGGGCTGGACGGTGGGAGGGGTGACTGTGGGAGCGAATGGGGAAGACCACCATGAGGGAGAAGCAAACGGGGACTGGCTGGGCTTGAGCGGGGGCCCAGGGCTCAGGGGCTGACAGTCAGCACCGTGGACGGCGGGGCGCTGGGTGGATAGCTGCCCGGGATACCAGCCTGACAGCAACCCCACCCCAGGGGAGGCTGTCTGCCCGGCCCGAAGATGTGCTGTCTGTCCTCTCCACCGCTAGGCCCTGGGGAACCGGACCCAAAGCTGCCGTGACCTTCCTGAGCCGCTCCCAGGCCTCCTTCCCCGCGACCTGTGCCTCCCGCACTCACAGTCCTCGAGGTCAAGCAGGGAGACCTCCTCGGCTGCCGGGGCGCTTCTGCTGCTGGGAGGCTGAAAGAGAAAGACGGGGCAGGGGTGCAGGGGACCCCGGTGTGCTCTGGTGGGGAGACGCTGGGCCCGGCCCCGGGGTGGGGGGACCCTGCCTGCGAGCCCGCCCTTCACCGCGCTGGCCCTTACGGTCTTGTGCCTCAAGGAGACAGGTTCCTGCTCCTCGTCGGCCTCTGATGACACCTCGGACTCCGAGGAGCTGCTGCTCGAGTCACTGCCCGCCTCCGAGGACGACGGCCCCCCGGGCCCCCCGGGCCCCTTCTTCCTCTTCTTCACCTTCCTCTTCCTGCCGTCCCCCTCACTCTGCCCGCTGGAGGAGGCGGATGGCACTCGCGCCCAGCCTGTGTACCCCTCCTTGCCCCAGAACAGCGGGGAGCCCCGGCACGGGGCCTCGGGTGGGCACCCGGGCTCTCAGCAGGCCCCCGTGCGCTCTGACCAGCCTGTGCCGGCCCCCACCGCGGAGCCCGCCCGCCGGCCGCCGAAGCCTCTGTCCGGGAGCTGCCGGGGGCTGCAGGCCCCACCAGCGCGTGAGGAGGCCCCGGAGCTCTCAGGAGGCTGGTGAGGCTGGTGGCCCTGCTTTCCCAGGGGAGACCCACGCCCCGCCAGCTGTGCCGCTGCCCCCCTCACCTCTCGCTGCTCCTCCCTTTCTCCCCGTCCTGCTCCTCGTTATCGGACTCGCTGCTGGACTCCCCAGAGCCGCTCTCGCTGCTGCTCTCGCTGCCCGATTCACTCTCGGACTCCGGGTCTGTGGGGCAGCTGCCTCAGGCCCCCCGCCCATGTGCAGGCCGCCTCAGGGGCAGAGCGGGTGCCCTGGACTCCCAGGGAAGGCTCAGCACAGAAGCCACACACGCCCTGACCTCACCCTGGCCCAGATGCCAGCTGGATCGCCTGGGACCCAGATGAACTGTGTGGATAGACACCTGCACACGCACACACCCCTGGGACATGCCGCCCTCAGGTACACACGCCTACAGGTACACGTGCCTACAGGTACACGCATACAGGTACACATGCCTACAGGTACATGCACACAGGTACACATGCCTACAGGTACACGCCTACAGGTACACACATACAGGTACACGTGCCTACAGGTACACACATACAGGTACACGGCGCCTACAGGTACATGCATACAGGTACACACACCTACAGGGACACACATACAGGTACACGCACATACAGGTACACATGCCTCCAGGTACACACATACAAGTATACATGCATACAGGTACACACCTACAGGTACACGCCTACAGGTACATGCCTACAGGTACACACGCCTACAGGTACACATGCCTACAGGTACACACAACTACAGGTACACACACCTACAGGTACACACGCCTACAGGTACACATACCTACAGGTACACACACATACAGACGCATACAGGTACACACGCCTACAGGTACATGCATACAGGTACACACGCCTACAGGTACATGCCTACAGGTACACACATACAGGTACACACACCTACAGGTACACATATGTACACACGCTTCCAGGTACATGCCTCCAGGTACACACACCTACAGGTACACGCGGGTGTGCAGCCCTTAGACAACCACCGCGTGACACACCCGGCCCCTCAGCCAGCGAGCCCCAGGCATGCATGTGAACAGGGGCACAGGGCCCCACTCCGCGGAGCCCTCACCGCTGTCTGCGGACTCTGTGGGGCCGGACCCCCCCTCTGAGTCCGAGTAGAAGGGCTTCTCCTTCTCCTCCCTCTTCTCCCGATTGGAGCACTTGGTCCACTCAGGCACCTGCAGACGGGTTGGGGGTTGGGGGGTACGTTATCTCATGGCTGGGGCGGGCAGGAAAGCCCTGGGCTCTCTGCCCTTCACCTGCCTCTTCCTGTGGCCCAACCTGCCCTGCCCACAGGGGGAGTAATTGCAGGGGAGGCAAGGGGCACTGCCTGTCGGGGGGCAGGGGTGCTGCCAGACCAAGGGAGGAGTGGGCACAGGACACAAGTGACAGGGGAGGGGGCTGCCGGGGGTGGGAGCACTGCACACAGGGCAGAGGGCACACGGCACACGGGTGGGGTGACCTCAGTGTGTCTGCCCAACAGGCCCACGTGGGTCTCAGTAAGGGAGAGATCTTCTTCCTGTGTGTGTGGAGGGTGTCAGGAGGCCCGGGCTCCCTGCTGTCTGTCCCCGCCAAACACAAGTCAACTCTCCACCCCTGCTGACCTCCACGTTTCGCACAGATGGGTCCGGGGCTTCCTCTGGCCAGTCTGGGAGCTCCTGGTAGCCCGTGGCCTTGGCATTGAGCAGGTGGGAAAGGGAGCCCAGCTGGAAGTGGTCCCGGTCTGAGGACAGGGAGAAGTCAGGCCAGCAGGGGAGGGAGGAAATGCCCCGGGGGCTGTTTCCCTGGTGGGGCGGTGATTCTGGTTGGGATTCCCTAAGCAGTGGATGTGTTCCTTAATGGCTCTTCCACCCTGACTGTGCCTTTAGGTCCACATGCTAGAAGAAAAGGCTGTCCGGCCCGACTAGAGCTGGGGCTGGGGGCAGGGGCAGGTGGAACTGCAGAGGGTGGGGGGGGGACTCTGGGACTGAGGTGTTTCTGGCCTGTCAGGTGGACGTGCCTACTGGGGAGGCAGACATGTAAGTGTGGCTTCTCTCCCAAGACCATGGGGCCACGCATCTGCCCCACCAGGCTCGGGAAGGCTTAGCTGGAATGCAGGACTAACTGAACAGGACCCTGGCCAGGACGGGGCGGGGAAGGGGAGGTGAGTCCAGTGAGAGTCCCGACTCCGTGCGGAGGGGCCAGCATTTCACACTGGAGAGGAGGGAGGCAGGGCCAGAGGTCCAGCCTGGGTGCAGGAGGGCAGCACGCAGGCTTGTGAGTCGGGGTGGTGCTGGGGAGGAGAGAGGGACGCTTCCCCCCTCCTGGGAGGTTCAAATCTGCCCCGTCCCTCAGGCTCTCCCTACTCCTGAGCCCCAGGAAGGAGAAAAAGCGGAATGAAAGGACCCGCAGGAGAACTGAGCTTTGGGAAGGAGGCTCCCTGGGTGGGCTCCTGCTCCAAAGAGCAAGCCTGAGACACCCCGACCCCAGCCTCTTGGAGCCCGGCTGAGGCCTGGGGCCGGGCCTTGGGCTGACCTCCGGCGATGGACAGGACCCTTCAAACACGCGCCTCTCCTTTGAGTGTTTCACTTCCTGCCCCACCGGGCCCCTGGCATCTCTCTCATCTGGCTACCTAGTGCATGCTCAGGGTGGGAGGGGGCCGGGAGGCCAGGCTGGGTGAAATGGGGGTGCGGAAGGGCAGGCCCTGGGCGGTACGGGTGGGCAGGAGGGCCGGGCCGGGGGCGGACTGCCCACAGAAGCCTGGAGACGCCCAAGTAAGACTGGGACCTCGGAGGGACTGGGACTGGGGTCACCCTTGATTTCTGCTCCTACCTTTGAAGGACGACTCCAAGACCGGGGCTGGTTTGGGTGCCAGGAAGAGCTTCTTGGCATGGCGGCTGAGGGCCCCGCCCTGCTCCGAGGGGACAATGAGCTGCCGGGTGAAGCGAGCTCGGTCACGGATGTCGTAGTTCTGGTCGTACTTGGCTAGACTGAGCACGTACTGGGTGAGCAGCTTGGTCTGTGGGACAAGAGGTGCGTCAGCAGCCGTCGGAGGGGTGGGACGCTGGAGGGCTCCGAACCAGATGCGCTAAGCAGACTCTTCCAGGCAGGGCTTCCAACCAGCTGCCCCAGGCCTCTCCCTCCCGCCCCGCCGTGGCACCAGCCTTTGCATCTTCTCAGCAGCCTCGTCCTGACCCCTGACCGCTGGCAGTTGTGACAACCACCTCGTGCCAGCAAAGGATGCTGCCCTTTGGACTCTCCCCTCCTTGGCCCTGGATCCCACTCTTCCTTGGGCCTGTGTTCCCACTGTCCAGCCAGCTCCTCCCCCACCAAGTCCAGGCTGGCTGGGGTGCCAGGGTGAGTGGAGGTCCAGAACATTCTGCCAGGCCTCACAGTTTCCAGGCTCCAATAGATGGAGGGAGACGAGACAATAAAAAGAGAGTGGGGACACAGAGGGATGCCCTTGGCAGGGGTGCCCTCATCCCCACTGACCCACATAGTAGATTCTGATCAGCCCAGCGTCTCAGAGGCCACGGTCCTCTCCGACAGGGTTCTCAGGAGATCAAACTGCAGCTGCCTATGGGTTTGCTAAAGTGTGGTTCACTCTGCAGTGGAGGCAGCCACATCCCAGGACTCCAAACCTCCGTCTCTACCCTGGTCCTGGCCGACCCTGCCCTGTCTTCATACAACGACGGGTAACAGCCATCATTCATGTAGTGCCTTCTAGTGCTAAGCACTGTCCTACACACTTCACACTGCCTCAGCTAATTTCCATAATCCTCTGAGAGGTGGTGCCAGCGCCCCCGTTTCTGAGGAGGCGCAGAGTCATGAGGTGACTTCTCTGAGGTTAAGCAGCCAGTCAGTGCTGCACCCAGGCCTGGACCCGCCAGAGCCTGCAATCCGTCTGCCCACCTCATTGCCTATCTGCTGATCCCCTGGGCTGCCCTCCATCTCTTATGACCAGGGGCCAAAACCACCAGGTACAGACACCCCGTGTCACCACAGCCAGGGTGCCTGGGGCAGTGGGGGCCAGTGGAGGGAGGCTGGAGCCCACCCTGGCCTTTCAGAGGCTGATGGCTGCATAGTGTTAGCCAGCCCTGGGCATGGCTGACTCAGGGGGTCTGACAAGGGAAGATGTCTCTGGAGGGCAGAACCCACCGATGACGGCCCAGAACTAGAGCAGCTGCCGCGGCAAAACCCTAAAGAGCCCCAGCGACCCCTCTGCCCTGCGGCGTGGCCCACAGGGCCTCTGGGGGCCTCCCGTGCAGCTCCCAGCACAGTGTCACCTTCAACACTGTCCCCGTTGCAGATGAGTCTCCTAACCCCACACCACCCTGGGATGCCATGACCACGGGCTCGTCACAGACCCACCCCCGCCTTGGCCAGACGCCGTCTGACGGGCCACAGCTGGTGGGCACCCTTCTCAGCAGGGCTTGATACGGAGCTGCTGCTGATCCTCCAGCACAGACCTCCGGGCTGGCCGAGTGCGGACGCTGCCCTGCCCCCAAATCCTTGCTTAGTTCCGGAAAGAAGTGTTTAGGGATTTGGACCCATCTGTTCACAGCCTTAACGGCATGTCAATAACCAACATAAGAATAGGCTGGGTCGCCCACCTCAACACTGCAGGATTTGCTTATTGCCAGTCACTCCCCTCCTCCAGCCCGAGGACCCACCCCAGGGACTGTGGCATGCAGTCTGCACCCCCAGGACCCCCACCTCGCCTAGCCAGGACGTGCAGGCGTTACAGGCTGCTCAGGAGGGCCTCTGAGGTATGCTTGAGTGCAGGAGAACGAGGCTCCCGTCGACCCATGGGCTCCAGCTGCCGAGGGAGAATTTAAGTGACCCCTTTGCCAAGAACCTATGCCTACACTACCTGCTACATCATGCAGGGAAACCTGGTCATTCAATTAAAAAAATGGATTAAAATACATCTACACCACACACTACATAAAAACAAGCTCTAGATGAATGTGGCGGGTAGACTTTAAGGTCCCGCCCCCCCAATTCCCGCGTCCTGTTCAGGCCTTCATGTAACCCCCCAGCCTAGAGCGTGGACCAGACCTGAAACTTGCTTCTGATCAAAGGAATATGGCAAAGGCAGCCGGCAAACGTGATCCCACAGCTGTTTCATTATATGAGACTGTCTTGCTGGCAGAACGGCCTGAGGCATTTTCCCTTCTGGCTTTGCAGAAATAAGCAGCCATGCTGGGAGGCCCACCGGGCGGGGCACTGAGAGTGGTCTCCGGCTGGCAGCCAGCAAGCAGCCAGGGCCTGAGTCCTGCCACCACCAGGAGCTGAATCCTGCCACCAGCCGTGTAAACCTGGAGGTGAGCCCTTGCCTGGCAGACTCCCCAGGACAACCCGGCCTTGACTTGCACCTCAACTGCAGCCTTGCCTAAGACCCAACGAAGCCAAGCCTGAACTCGTGACCCACAGAAATTCTGGGAAAATAAATTTTGTTTTAACGCACCAAGTTTATGGTAACTTATTATACAGCAGTAGAAACCTAATACAATTACAAATGTGAAAAACAGATTAACATATGGAAAAGGGATTAAAAAATAGAATAGGAAAAATCTGTGGTGGAAATTATAGGTGAAAATTGTAATTGATGTGTGAACGGGGACACAACTTTATAACTATGAAGGGAACAGAAACTGGAAGGTTAATATATTGAACAAGACACAAATCTACAACTTCCAGATGGTCACCTAAGGCCACCAAAAACTTTTTAAAAGCTGAGGAAATATTAGATCGATGGTGGTCTTTCCTAAGTGGTAGATCTGTGGCCAACTTAAACTTTTAATTAGTGTTTTATGGGTTTTCCAAATATTTTATGATGAGCATGCATTATTAAATATTAGAATATTAAAAAAGCTATTAACTTTCTTTTAAAATTCTGCAGAACTTTGTCAGAATATCCCATCCACTATATAGGCCAGATTTTAGCTCCCACCATGCCCCTAGCAGACCTTCCTCCCACACATCTCACCTACTATAAAAACTAAACCCACCTGCCTAAAGCCCTCCAGGGAGTTGCCCCAGGTGCCATACCTCAGGTGGCTGTAATACCACCCTCACTACCTCGGCCACCCCAGGCCCTCTGTCAGTGCACCTATCATCAGAGCCTTTGTGGCCTCTGGCCTAACACCTGATCATCTGCTGAGCAATAGCAGGGCAGAGCCTCAGCTCGGTCAACCCCTTAGCCTCAGCCTGGGCAGAATCAGGCTGCGGTGGGGTGGGGGTCAGTAAGCTGAGGATAAAGGCTGGGATTGTTGTGGCCTTGTAGAGGACCAGAGGGTCACCGCGGCACTGGGATGGGGGCAGAAGCATCCCTGGTGTTTGGCAAAAACAGCCATGTGGACGTCCACACTGCCTCCCTCCTAGTAGGCCAAGGACTCCCCTTTCTCCACTACTTCAAGAACATGCTGGAAAGGAGGAAGGAGAAAGAAAAGGAGGGTAGAAGGGAAGAGAAAAGTTCTTTATTGAATCAGAGAACTATTCTAAGGCCTGGGGCTGGCAGGACCCACATTCAGGTGAAGGGTGTCCATCTGTCTATAAACAGCCTATGCTGGGAGCCCCAAAGGGGGCTGGGGCCCCTTGTGCCCGGCCGAGGGGCGGGCGCAGCTGTGTCAGCTCTGCTTGCTCTGCTTTATGCTGTTTCCCGACCTGGCTGTGAGTGTTTGGAGGTCGGCAAGCCCGTCTTGCTCACCGTCATTACCCCAGGACACAGCTCGGCGCTAGCACAGCATGCAACCAGAACTAACGCACCTGCAGCAAGCAGTGCCAGCCTGGGGGAATGCTGCAAGAACACGCCCAGGCTTATGGAAATGTGCGGACATCATGACCCTGGGGTTTGGGACTCAACTTGGGCCTGAGCCTCTCAGACAGCCCCCCAGCCTGGCTGCCCCCCACCTGCCGCTTCATTTCTTCAACCGTTCCTCCCACCTCAACAAAGGAGGCCCGAGAACATGGCTGCTGCCCCATGGTGCTCCCTCTAACTTCTCTCCTTCCAATCTGCCTCTCCCACAACAGCGCTGACACTCGCTGACTCCATCCCTCACTGCTTCCGCACGCGACTGCTGCTCCGTCCAGCTACGGACCAGGCCCAGCACGTGACGACCCTGCCTCCCCAGCTGGGGGAGGCCCACCCTAGCCACCAGGGATCAAGGGAGCCACTGAAGAAGCACAAGTGCACCATTCAAAGAACTCCCAGGGGCAGAAAGGAGGCCACCTCCAGGCACAGCCATGCTGGCGACCCCGGCTACCCACCCAGGCACTTGGCTGCAAGGTTGGCAAACGTATTCTACAAAGGGTCAGCTCTGTTGTGGCACAAAAGCACCCACAGACAATAAACAATGAGCATGGCTGTGTCCAGTAAAACTTTAGCAGCAGGCCTGATCTGGCCCATGGGCGGTGGTTTACCACCCCTGCCTCACTTGCCTGAGTCGGGCAGTGCATGTGGGAACCATTATGTCCCCAGCACCCTGAAAAGCTCTGCATCTCCTGGGGCCACCTCAGGGAATGCTGGACAATCGACAGGCTTTTAACCTTCTGATAGTTCAGCTGAGTTGGGCTATGCCCTTGGCCCTGTACCTCTCATGACCTTTAACCTTGGGAATGACCACAGCCGCCAGTATCACCCAAGTCCGAGCGACTTCCCCTCTCACCCCTGGTCCAGGCTGGCCTGCATTGCCCAGCTTTGGGAGGAAGCACAGACCACATCTCCGGGGACCAGCATTCTCCATCAGGGGCTGTCACTGCTGGCCCCTCCCAGCCAGGATGCCAAGGCGGCAGGCAGGGCCTCCACCAGCAGATGGGAGGCCTCAGCCTCACAGGAGAGGCTCCTCAACACAACCACTGTAGACACTGGGGAAAAAGTGGGGACCTGGGAAGACCAGCTACCTGCCCTGAACTCTCTCCCAAGAAGGAGGTGCTGGAGTTCATGCCTGCTTGGTAAGGGCCCCCAGAACATTGCTTGAGTCGTTTATGGGCACCGGAGTGCTTCGGGGGCCTCTGCATCTTACCTGCTTCGAGTTGGTCAAGTAAAGCTTGGCCGCCAGGTTGATGACCTGTAGCTTGACAATGTCCTCTTCTGCTGTGAAGGACTTGGCCATCTTCCTGAGGACGTCAGGTGCGATCCTGGGGACATGCTCACAGTACTCGCCAATGAGCCACAGGATGCTGGCTCGGGCCATGGGCACCTGTGGGTGCAGGGGTACAGTCAGGACAGGGTGAGTGGGGAATGCGGGTGGGCGAGAGCAGCCTGCCGGGGAATCGGCCCTCCTCCCATCTGCACTGGCCACGTGCATGGTGGGGTGCTCTGAAGTGGCAGTGGGGGTAGCGAGAGAGATTAAAAGGTGGGCAGCACCTCCCCTTTTCTCTAGGGTCTCACTAGCATGCACAGCGCCTTTAAGTCAAAGTCAGCCACAGCTTGGTCTCAATGACTGGCTTTTCTGGGTCTGGTGCCCTCAATGCTTTACTGCCATGTACTCTTCCCCAATCTCCAGGAATGCCTTGTTTGAACGATTCAACTCGGCCGCAGCGCAACAGAGAAACACAGGATTTGTCAATCAGCCACCCTCGGCCAGAGCTTAGAGAAAACATGAGGGTGGTACGGGACCACAGGGCTCCCTTTAAAGAGACCCCTAAAGGGAGGGGGGATCTTGGGCAAGGTCACATGGCCCCATTTCCCCTCCTTCCACCTAAAGACCTTTCAGAGCCAGTATGGAGGATCTGAAAGTTGATCTTAATCAAGGCTAGTGTATTTAATCACAGGGTCTTAGAATCGTGGGATGGACACTGAGGTGGGGAGGGAACGGTGCTACTCTGTCACCTGGATGTTGTCTGTGAGCTTTGCCAAGTGTTTGATGATCTCTCCGTGCTGTGCTGGCTGCATCTGTAGCAGCTTCTTAATGACCACCACTGACTCTGCAACCACGAGCTCTGTGGGGCAGGAACGAGTGCCACCCTGGGATGGCTGGGTGATCCAACACACCTGCAAGCAGCCCCCCAACCCCCTCCCCCTGACCAGCTCTCTTCCTCAGCCCCACCCACTTCTCCAGTGGCCCACAGAGATGGATCACTTGGGCACTGAGGCAGACAGACTGATGAACACAATGTGCCGGGGCAGCGAGCGGCCACCCATTGGCCATCAGAGCCAGACATGCAGGCAGACACCCCCTGGTCATTAGACAGACGGACACCAACCATCACGGTTGGACAGCAGCTGCACCAGGCCGTTGAGGCAGGTGTCACGCACTCGGCCTATGTTAGTTGCACAGCGTCCAATGGCCTGGATCGTGGCTGCCACGAAGTCCTTGTCCATGCTGCGAATGTAGGTCTGTGGGACACCACACAAGCAGTGACCACTCAGTGGCTCTGCAAGCCTGAGGGTGACCTTCAGGAAAGCTGTCCCCCCTCATTCCATGACCCCCAAAGCCAGAGACTGAACTGGGGGTGGCACTCTCGGCCATCTCCCAGTGACTGCCTGACCCAAAGCCAGCAGGCAGCACCAGGAGGGGACCCTGATCGGCTTCTCCACTTCGGGCTCTTAAGAGAAGGTCTGAGCCACCAGGACATTTCCCACATAGCACAAGGGCTGTGGGGCAGCGCTCCCGGGCCCCTCTGGCTGGGAGCTGGCTGTGGCTCATACCTGGAATTCCCGTAGGACAGTAGGGATGTTGGTCTCACTGGCCAGGTTGGTCAGCACTTCCAGCTGCAGGGCGGCAGAGAAGGGGCAGGGCAGCCGGTGGGCCTTCTGCGCCTTCACAACCCTTCATTCCAACACACTTTGTGGACCAGACAACATGCTCAGGATGGCCCTGCCTCGTCCTTAGACGGATGAGGGACCAGATCATGAAGCGTGTCCAAATGCAGGAGGACCCATTTGCCTCCTACATGTACCCCGACAGTGCGCTGACAGCATGATCACGCGGCCTCTCTAAGGCCAGTGAAATCTGCAGGGCCCCCTATTGCCCTAAAATAGAGCAACATCCTTACCACAGTCTGAGCCCCTGAATGACTTGACCACCATCTACCTCTGACCTCCCACCAAAGACCCAGCCACACCAGCCTTTCATCAGACTCCTTTCTGCCTCAGGAGGCAGAAATAAGTTTATTTCTCAGGCCTCAACTCAAGGCTCACCTCCTGAAGGAAATCTTCCTGGACATCAGACTAGATCAGGTTCCCCGGTTTTACGCTTTTACAGCTCTCTGCACTTCTCTTTCCTGCCACATTTTGCAAATGATTTCTACATTTGTTTTGTGCCAGCTGCTCAGTGTCTCCTCCTCACCCCAGACAGACCGTAAGCCCCAAGGGCAGGGTGCCCCATCAGTCTGCTCTCTTGCACCCCCAGATCTAGCTGTGTGACTGACAGACGTGTCAGACTGGATTCACTGCTGCTGCATGAGACGACTCCATAATGAGGCAGAGCAGGAATGGAACGTTGCGCACAGGCTCCTGACACTTTTTCTGTGGGTGTATTTGTGCGTGAAAGCCTGAGGGGATAGCTGCACGGGGCTCGTATCACTGGGTGGAAGGCAGAAGACTGCAGGGGAAAGGATGAACTCTGGAGACGGCAGACTGACCTTGGGGCGGTTACTTCAGCTCCGAGTCTACGTGTTTATAAAATGGAGCTCATGTCCACTTTCCAAGGGTGTCATGGAGATAAAGTCACTTCATAGGTGCCAAGCAGCAGCTCCCTTTGCCCTGCCCCCCACCTGTCAGCCTGGTTTCCTGAGCAAAGGCTCCAGGCTGCAGTGGCTCTGGGCTGGGCCCCAGAAATAGGCAGGCACCAAGGTGGCCATGGTGGATATTTGGGTGGGTCAGTGGGGGTGAAGACAGGCCATGTGCACTTCCGTCCATCACTCACCTTCAGAATCTTGATCTGGGTGGGGTCGGTGGACCTGATGTAGAAGCTCTTCAGGTAGGGCTCAAACATACCCTGGCAAAGGAGAGGCAGCCCCAGGGAGGTCCACCTTAGCAGTGCCACCCACCTGCCCGGACCCACCGCCCAGTACCCTTCCTGTCCTCACTGGCCTCGGCTCCTCAGCTCTCCCCGGCTCCTTCCCAGATCCGACCGGCTCTTTCTCCACCGGCCTTTCCTCCCTCACTGGCCCTCGGAACCTAGGCCCTGGTCCTCCACCTGCGTTTGCGGTCTCGGCCTCACCACGCTCTGCACAGCCGAGCCCCATCCTGCTTTCCCCAGAGCCTGCACAAGGCACCCCCGGCCTGCGACCTCAGGCCTGAGTCACTTGCTCACCCGGCGCTTGATGGACATGGTCGCCACGTTCTGGAGCACGACGTACTGCACCTCACTGCGGAGAGGACCTGTCAGTGATACCTGGGCCCCTCAGCTGGGACAAGGGACGAGGTGGGGGGAGGTGGGCCAAACAGGAGGAGAGGCCCCGTGTGGGGAGGGCCACACTGGGAGGAGGGGAGGCTGGGCTGGGCCAGTGCGGGGGCAGGAGGGCCGGCTGGGAAGCAGGATGCGCGCTGCCTCTGCGAGAAGCGCGGCTGGAGCACGTGGGCGCGGGGCCCGGCAGGGCCGGGGCGGGGCGAACGCACCTGTGGCTCCGCAGCAGGCGCACGAGCGCCTTGGCGATGACGCCCACCTCGGCCTTGGGCGCCAGGTGGAAGTAGAGCTGCGCCACCGCCATGACCACCGCGGCGCTGCGGCTCTGCAGCAGGGGCTTGGTGTTGCGCAGCAGCAGCCGGTGGTCGGGGTCCATGACGTAGGGCTTTCGGGCCGGCAGCGCTGCGGAGGACGCCTCCCCCGACCCCGCGCCCTTGGCCTCGTCCTCCTCCGAGCCGTAGAAGGCCTTCTCGGGGTTCTCCTCCAGCAGAGACTCCTGCAGGGGCGACGGCGGCAGTGGGCGGGGCCGCAGCGCCGGGAGGGCGGGGCGCGCGGGCGGCACTCACGTTCTGGGTGGGGCTGAGGAACTGCGTGCGCGCGTAGCGCGTGAGCATGCTGATGATGACCACCTGGCCCCACTCCTCCACGTCGATGAGCAGGTTACAGAGCTTGCGGTAGTTCTTGTGAATCAGGTCGATGCGCTCCGGGCACACCTCCTCGAAGGCCATCACCACGCTGCCCGCCACCAGCTGGGGAAGGAGAGGCCAGAGGGTGACTGGGGGGCGGGAGGGTCACACCCTCCTCCCATCCCTCTGTGCCCTCAGACGCACCGTGGTCTTGTCGGCCAGAAGCTTCTCAATGACCTCTATCAGCTGATCCTTCTGGTCCGAATCCAAGCTGAAGGAGAGACCGTGGGGAGCGCTTTGCACCCTGCGCCCTGCCTCTCCAGCCTTCCCGCTGTCAGGCCAAGCTGGGCCACCTCCCACGTCCGAAGCCTGTTCACAAAGGTGTGAGCCGCCCCTTCCAGCATCCTCCCTCCCTCACAGTTCTCCAAACTGCCTTAGGCCGTCTGGAGCTTAAGTAGGGCAGCCTGCCTGCGAGACTTGGGAGAGACCAGGGGCGGACCGGGGGCTTGGGGGCCGCTGCCCTGAGGAGCGAAGGGCAGGGCTGGGGCACACCTGTAGAGCTTAGGGATGGCGTGGGCAGCTGTTTTCCGCACATAAGGCGACATGTCCGAGGCCGCTTCCTTGATGGCCAGCATCATGATGGGCACGATGATGGGCACGCGGATGCTGGAGAGGACGCGCAGGGCGCTTGCCCGAATCAGTTGGTTGGGGTCCTGAGTGCAGAGGTGGAGGCAGAGCCGTAAGACAGCACCAGGTGGCCCGATGGAAAGGGCCACACAGGGGACTTCACTGTCCCTAGCTACCCCAGCTCTTGCTTCCCTGCCTCCTGTCTGAGCCAGGGTATGTGCCAGTGCGAGGCACCTGGTGGGCACTGCTTGGGGGCACTAACTCCTGGACTTGGCTGCAGAAACACGACATCTGAACAGGTGTGGCAATGAGCTGCTTCACTTTCAGGAAGAGTGGAAAACTCTGAGAACACCTGATCCTGAGACCCTCCTGTTCCTTAGGAATTGGGGGTGGGGGTGGGGGTGGG